AAAAAAAAAAACTTGATTTTTCTCCCTTCTGCAGATCCACCATCGCCACCATCACCTCCGTTCTTTCACCTCCGATCTTCACCATCCCCTTGCTGAGCATCTCATCATCATCACAGCCTCCACCTTCATCACCAGTAATCACCAAAGCAGAAGGGTTCGGCAGCTACCAGAAATGGGGAAAAGATGAAGCAGATCTAGCCAGTAATCACGGAAGCGAAGCATTCACTGAATCTCCAACCCACCGGCGACAGGTTGAGGAAGACGTTCGCGGTGTGCGACGTGTAGCGTTCGTCGTTCGTGATGAAGAAGGAGAACAGAAACAGATCTGCAATCGAAAATCCATTGTTTTTTTTTTTTTTTAGTTTGAACTTAGGTGTACCAGTCATATTTCGGTGTGCCGGCCGGTACACAAAATTCCGGCCGGTATATCGGATTTTGACCGAAACGATCGAATTTTGACCAAAACAAAATTTGATGTTGTACCGTTTCGGTCAAGTGTCAAAACCGGTACGTACCGACCATACCGGCCGGTACGGTATGGGATTGACTTCTTTGATGGCAACACTAAAGGGAGAAAGCTGTGTCCGAGGTGTCCGACAACTATACGACCAGCGAGCGGAAGGTGCTGAATACCGTTGCTCTCACCACATGGGTGCTGCAAGACTAGCCGCCTTCTTTAGCTCGATCCACAAAACCACCCCACGTTATTTCCCACCTCCTCCCTTCACTGCGCTAGCTCTGCTATCTCTTCGGCATTGAAAAAGCCTTAGTGTCCAAGTTATACCTACCATTCTATGTAAATGGCTTTAGCTTTGTCGAAATAGGTTGAACCAAATGCTAATATTTTTAAGTAAAAATTGATTCATTGATGTTGGCAGGTGCTAAACATGGAGTCGTCGTTTATTTAAATAAAAAGTAAAATACATTATTTGATTGTACACAAAGATAAAATTAGATTTGAAAATTATACATGTTATAACTTCCATAACTTTGATGGAATCCAATTCAAAGCAAACATTTGATCCTCACAAACGCTAAATAATATTCATCCATCCAAGACATTAGAATGAGAACATATCCCAAAATAAGAAACTACCATATCAAAATGAACATGCATTCACACACTGCATCAAAGGCCATTTCAAACCATGAATTTCACTTCCATTAAGGAAACGAGAAATTGGAACCGAATTTGGGAGTCTTATAGAAAACCAAATGCAGCGCATACAACCAGGATTCTCGGACAATAAAGCGATCAAACAGGCATAGAAACACCTCATATTGGCTCGTGTGCCCAATGCATATATATGACCAGATTATGTTAAACGAGACAAGACATCAATTAAACATATACGCTAACTTAAACAGAAAATTGCAGAGAGAAGTAACGTCAAACATGCTTTCCATCATCAAAAAACCTCACCAAAGTCTGCACATTCACATGAAACAATTTTGCATCCAAAACCTGATCATGCCAGTAAAACATTTTGCAGAACTAACAGATGAGATGCATGTATCAATTACAAAAGTACCTTCAGATTGTCGACTGCTGCTTCAGATTCAGAAACCATATTTGGAGCCTCCAAAAATCCAAATTGATCAGCTTTGCAGCCTCCCAACTTGTATGTGTACAGTTCTCTTCCTATGCAAATCACTTTTCCTGTATATGATCATACAAAAGCAAATTAAACCAAAACCCCAGGTATTGTGAAAATTTTCAAACTCCTTTTTTCGTTATCTTCACCACTAAATAAATATTACTTATAAATTACATAATAAATCTACACATAATTGGTAATTGAGCGTATAGAAGATGTGATTCATACTGTTTTTGGTGATCGGCATGGCTTTCCGAAGGCAATACAGTTTTGGTGAGCTCCGCGTGCTCTTGGACTTCCTGTAGGGCGCCGCAGCCCCAACACCTGAACGGTAAACCGACCATTGACGACCGATCCTGCTCTGCAGGTTCACGTACGACTGGATCGAGTGGTCAACAAGGTTGCAGAAGGGAATCACGTACGGTATTTGATTTTGTTCTTACCTTGTTTCATGATGGCCTTTTTTTTTTCCTTTTTTTATGTGCCTTGATGGGCTTTTTATGGGCTTAACGAAGGCCAATTTTTAAATTGTCTTGCTCTGTTGGGTGAAGTAGAAAACTAGGAATGCAAAGCAGGGCTCATCGCATATTTGTTATTCGTAAGTATTTTATTTATTTAGATAAATATTGATATTTAAATTGTAAAAAAGGTACGTAAATAATAGATATAAAAATAATATATTTATAAATTTTAAGTTAAGTAATAAATATAAAAATTTAAAATTATTTATTTATATGTTTAATTGATTTATTTAATTGATCTGTTATTTGTATTTATTTAAATGATCTGTTATTT